TGGTAGAGTAGAGGGACGACAACGAACATGTCCTTAGTAGAGGGACAAGAACGAATAAAATATTAAAGTAGAGGGACGATAATTGGCTTTAAACCGTTTTTTAACCCAGACATAATACAAGGCAGAACAATCTCCAAATCTCACTCGTATCTTCAGCCATGTTTGTTTGGGATGGTGAGAGGATGGGATAAATCCAAATCTTGGATTTTATGCAGTCCTAACCTCACCCAACAAAATAATCCCACCTCTCACCCGTGGGCTGTGGACATGGGATTAAGTTGGATAAGATTGTATTTATAATTTATTAATTTTTAACCCTCTTCTCCATGATTTTGACCCCATCATCCCAACCTCTCTGACACGAGAAATCTATTGAGCAACGTCGACACCGACTTGCTAGAACTCAACTATAACCCTTCTTCTCCCTCCTCCTCCCCCTCTTTTGTCTTCTTCCTCTATCATCTCCGACAACGGGGCCGACCTTCACAGTTATGGTGTTGCAAAAGAGAGACACAATTAGGAAGGAAATTAGGCCCTAGAATATACAAAACTACAATAATTCGGTGTGGGAAAAGCATCAAAATAATAGATCTAGAAAATTATGATGTGTCTCAAGTTGGAGTATGTCGGAAAAAATAAGTGATTGGAGCCAATTTGAAATTGAATTGTTGAGTAGTGTCAAAGGCAATCATGCGTTGGTTGGCGGAGACCTGATAAGGGTGAGATGGAAGTAAGGAAATGGAGCATACTGTCATAATATAATAATTTTTACATTTAGTTATTGTAATGATAAGTCTAAGGTTCTTAACTTCGAACGTACTGTTACAATCCTTTAATAGTCGAAGTGAAGATTAAATCCAGTGCTTCTTGACCAAGTGACTGCATAACAGGTACAATGCACATGTCCATACCTGATTCTCCACACTTGATTTCCCGATCCCGAAATTATCGCCTGAAGGGACACGTTGGACTCCGATTATCTTGTTGAGCAAGCCACGTGGACACCTTACTAAGGCCTATAAATACCCCCCGGAGGCCACCTCAGAAAGGTAATTGAAACCGACCTAAAGCTCCTTTTTTCATTATTCTAAAGGTAGATCCGATTATTGTTGACTGAAGCATCGGAGTGTCTACCCCGAGTACCCACCTCAGGGCTTTGTAGGTTCATCTAGAGTGGAAACGCAAACTGAAGAAGGACTTCTAGTTTGGTGCAATTACATTGGTGTCGTCTGTGGGAAACCGAACTAAAAGCTCTTTTGTTGCTTTCTCATTATGGTCAACACTCGATCTGTCCGAGCTAGAAGTCAAGCTCAACCTCTTGGATAGAGTCAAGCTCAATACCCCAACAACCTGCCACCTCAGATCCCAAATTCATTCCCTCCTGTTGAACATGCAAAAGGAGGAGATGAAAATCAACCTCACAACTCAGCTCACAATTCAGCTCCCACCCCTAACCAAGGAGATGTAGTCACAGCTCATCTTGCTGCCATGCAACAGCAGTTCGGTGTCTTTCAGTTGGTTTTGGCTCAACTCTTAACTCGGAATAATCCTGGTGGTCCCTTCATCAATCTACTTAACCCTACTCAACAACTCCCTGTTCAACAGCAAGACCCTCAACCAGTTCAACATGCTCCTGCTGTTAGTGAGTCTCAGGGTCAGTCACACATAGCCCCAACTCAACAACATCTACCTGATGATGTCACACGACGTTTGGACAGCTTAGAAAAAATGGTAGTTGAGCAGCGAGGTGCCCCACCTCCCCACCATAACACTGACTCCATACCTCATCCTTTAAATACTAATATTACATTGGAACCTTATCCTACTAGTTTCAAAATACCAAAACTGGAGACATATGATGGAACGAAGGATTCAGATGATCACCTCCATGCTTTTTATTCCTGCATGCAAGCTCAGAACGGCTCTAATGCGTTGATGTGCAAGATCTTTCCCTCCACTCTCCGTGGTAATGCTCGAACATAATACTATAGTTTGCCTCCGAAATCTATCAGCTCTTATACAGAAATGGCATCTGCTTTTGCTACAAAGTTTTCCAATAAAAGGTTGATTAGGAAAACCACTTCTGAACTGATGCGAGTCAAACAAAGGGAAGGAGAATCTCTGAAGAATTACATGAGCAAGTTCAATGATGCAGTCCTCGAAGTCAGCTCATTCAACCAAGCCATGGGAATTGTGGCTGTAATTCAAGGTCTCCAACACAAGAGATTCAAAAAGAGCTTAATTAAGCATCTTGCTGCAACTTTTAATGAGGTTAATGACAGATCCTTGAAATTCATAACTGCTGAGGAATATGCCTTGTCACAAAAGTCAATTCTCCCTAAGAATCAAAACCCAAATTGGAGAGATAAGGGCTAGAGTAGAAAGTGGATGAAGACAGTACATAATCGAGGTTCGATGTCGACCTCCATATTGAGATTCGGAAAATCGAACTTGGTACCTCCCTAACAAATGACCAGTAAAGCACCAGTTACATGGATTCCTTTCAATCTGCCGAGGTCGCAGATATTCATGCAAATCAAGCATAAGATGGATTTGAGGTGACCAGGGCCAGTGAGAAGTTCTACTACTACAAGCGATCATGTTAGATACTGTGATTTCTATCAAGATCATGGCCATACAACGGAGGAGTGTAATAGTTTGAGGTCTGAATTGGAAAGTCTAGCTCAGAAGGGAATGCTAAATGAATACATCCAAAGAATAGAGCAACCGAAGTTTCTAAGAGAGCAGGGGCCACAGCCATAGGGGTCTCGTAATGCAGGAAACAAGCAAGGTGTGGGATATCAACAAGCCCCACCTCCACTCCCGCCACCAATCAGAATTATACATATGATTATGGGAGGATTGGAAGTAGGGGGTTTGAGCTCCAAACAACGAAAATTGTATGTCAAAGAGGTGAAGCATCAAAATCGAGCTCAGAAAAGAAAGTTTGATGACATTGACTGGAAGAATCAACCAATCACTTTCACACCTGTTGACTTTGATACAGTTGTAACACCCTATAATGATCCTTTGGTCACCTCTGTTATGATTAACAACTGTGAAGTACAACGTGTCCTTGTTAACATAGGGAGTGCACCAGACATTATGTATTTTCACTATTTTGAGAGTTTAGGACTAGATCCAGCTCTGTTACAGGGGTATGATAATCCCATATATGGATTCAATAACCAACCTATTCAGGTAGAATGAGTCCTTACTCTCAACGTCGCTTTTGGAAGCGGCTGAACTTATGTTACCCCCTCAGTTCGGTTTCTAGTTGTCAAAATGGCCCTATCCTTCAATGCTGTTATTGGACGACCTACATTAACCAAGATTCGAGCTGTGGTACCTCTGCATGAAATTCCCAACCCCTATAAGGATAGCAACATTACGAGGTAACCAGGAGGTGACTAGACATTGCTATATGACCTCGGTTACAAGGCCTCAGAAAGGCAAAGATCAGACATCAGAAACCATTCCACCACAAGTTCATGATAATCAGCAAGTGATAGGGGTTGAGATGGTAGACAACTGACCTGAAGATGAAACCCGAGCTGCCCCAATTGAGGATGTAGAGGAAGTGCAACTTGATGATAGAAATCTGAACAAGAAGACTCAAATTGGAACGCGGTTGAACCTAAAGGAAAGAGCAGAGCTAATAGCTTTCCTCCGAACTAACAAAGACATCTTCGCTTGGACCTCAACAGACATGTCAGGGATTCCAACCTCGGTATCTCAGCATAAGTTCAGACCAATCCATTGAAGAAACCAGTAACCCAGAAGCGACGCTTCTTTGGGGGGGGG